CTGCTTACACTGTGCTTGGGCCATATTTTTAAGTGTTAGACTGATTGGTAAATAATTTTTACAGCCTTTTATGTATATTTCTTTCTACTTTACAGAGAAAATCTATTTCTGCCCCTTGCTGATGTGGCCAGACTTGGGACCCACCCATTCCAAAAGTTAAAAGTTAATGAGACAGAGAGCAAATATTTATAACTGAGACTTTGTATACGACAGACATAAACATACAGTGTCTTGTACTTTTCATGTATTCTTATTTTTAAATAAATGGTATTCACTTTAATCACTCATGTGAATGAACGTGTTTAAAACCAAATGGCTACATTAAAGATAATGGAAAACTCTAGCTCACCTTCAAAAATTATTGTATTTATAATGATTTAAAAGGCTCATTACTGAGAGCCACATTCCAAAGTTGCAGTAAACCCATCGAGTTTTTATAAACACATTTTCTTTCTACTCTTACTGCTGTTCGCTCCACTGAAGTGAGGGGCTATGTGGACTCATTTCAAATGTCCTTAGATTATATGTCACTCTAAGGAAACCCTTTTTCCAGATAAGTTGTAAAGAACATGTATTTTTTAATGGCAAGTATTTTATCATTTCTGGCCATTTAGATTATAGGTGTGGGATCCTGTTTTATATGGCACCCTGCTACTGTGGAACTTTTCTTTCAGCTGCTTTAGTTAGAAAAGCTGTTGCCAAACAAAACAGTAGGAGGGAAGCTGTAAAAACGTTTTGAAATGCTAAAAAAAGAAATAAGTGAGCAAGCAGCAATCTAAACATAAACCGGAGGACTCTTCCCATGACCCAGTTTAAGGGAAAGAAACAGAAGAAGATGCAGAGAATTAACAGAATACCAATTTCGAGCCACATTCAGGATCTTTAGAAGGATTAGAAATTATTCAGAAAATTACATGTAAGCTGGTGCACTAAAATCGTTCTGTCACAAATCTCAGACATTATTCTGAGCTAGACGAGCCTGGTGTCATGACATTTTCTCAAAAAATGAGAGGTCATAGAACCTGGAAAAGGATACGTTTATGTATAACTGAATCACTTTGCTGTCCACCTGAAAATAATACAACGTTGTAAATCAACAATAGTTCAATAAAAAATAAATTAATTTTTTTTAAAAATGAGAGGTTATAATATAAAAGTTCAAATTACCATTATAAGTTAGTTCTGTTGATTTAAGGCCTTTTTCGTTAGCAACAGAACAATGAAATTGGCAGTTACATAATGAGATAACCTCCAACCACAACAATAGAAAAGGCTCACTCACGCAAGCTCAGTGAAATCTAGAATCCAAACACCACTATAGAAAAACAAATTGTAAAACATGGGATGCTCTCAAGACTGTTCTTTGAAAAACCCTTGATGTGCTATGTAATATGTGACCAGTATAACTTTGGAAGTTCAGTTCGATATTATCTTTGATCCAGGCACACTGCTCTTTTACAGATATGTGATTTATTTAAAACACTCCTTTTTCTTTTTTTTTTTTTTTTGACTTGGAATGCATGTAACCAGATGAGTATTAAAAGTGAAATATATAACATATTCCTTAGTATTTGAAGGATGAGTACCTTTATTTTCTTTTTTTTCCGAGCCAATATTTAAACTAAACACATACTTCAATCTTTCAGAAAAAGGCTGTTTATCCCAGAGAAGGTAACTGACCTGCATGGAACCCGGAATAAGTCAGTCAGTTGTCTGTCGGTCAGGCATACGCTCAGATAGCACTGATGAGCCCGGTTGGGGTCAGGTGCCCTGGACTCTGGGCATCCACAGACAGGGACCCATTCATGGGCTTTATTGCCCTAAACCCTCCCAGGCTGCAGGCTTCATTGCTGGGATTCCCAAGGTTCAAGGAGGTTAAGTCACTTACTCCAGCTCCAGACAGAGTGTAGACAGAACACAGAACAGAGGTACCTCTGCCCTGCCACAGCTGTCCTCACGAGCTTGTGAAGAATTCGGTCAGTTATTCAATAATACTTTGAGCCTAGACCGAGTTCATTACATCTCAATAGGTTAAGTCAATGAATCATGTTATTTTATAGTCCCATCAAATGTATCTACTTCCTGTGAGGCCAGAAGGCATTTTCCTATTACTGCTCACAGAGGGACGGCCTTCCCTTTGTTTTGTCCCTTTTTTCTTTTAAGTAGCTGTTCAAGGAGAAGAGTGGCTCTCTGCAAGGGGCTCTAGTCTCATCCTTTGAAATGTCCCGGGGTGTGTCCTAGATCAGACTGAAGAATAATCCATCAAACAATTCCAGTACTGTGGAATAAGAGAATTTCCTGAGCATCACTGTGGTAAAGAGGCGTATTTTGTAGGCAGCTTCACAAAACCATTGGGAAATAAAAGTATCTTGAAAAGGACTAGGAAAATATAAAATCTGAAATATAACTTTGGTTGGTCATCATTAATGTTACCTGTCCTCCTTCCTAAACTTTACTCTGAAATTACACCAGCATACCCAGTTTCTCTCCAACAATAATCAAATATGTGAAAAGAGCATTAACTAAATCAAATAAAGAGGCAATGTCATGAAGACTTAAAGATGATAAAGGGTCTCACATGACAGCTAGTAAAATAATAATAGCTCACATTTTACAAAATGACAAGTCAAAGAAATATGTCTAGTCTCATCAAGCTGTTTGTGTCTTCCTAAGGAAAATATTTGTGGCCTTCGTTACACAAGACCAAATACATGATCAAAAAGTAAGAGTTACTTGTCCATGCCAGAGAATTGAGCCATGTTATTATGGTTTCAGGCTGATGGATTCATTATTCATGTCATGATATTTATTGAGCACCTACTTACTGCACCAAGCACTGGGGATACAAGTGATGAACAAGAGAGACACAGTCACTACCTCCATAACTCTCAGAGTCTAGGAAGCAGATCATCAGACAATATTTATAAAAAATATATAGGATTATATACAGTGGCAACTGGGATGAAGAAAAGTGATTGTTTTGAGGAGAAATCAAAGTAACCCTGATATTTGAACACTGACTCTGTGAAAAGTGATGTATTACTAATACTATTAATCCTTTTGTGGTTTCTGTTGTTTCCAACACCTTGTAATTAAAAGGGCTTTAATGTTTTAAGCCTTTTTACACCATCTTGCTATAACTGCAGGGCAGTGTAGAAACTGAGATGTACATAAATGAATATAGATAAAGTGCTGTATAGCTACAGAGTCAGGATGTAAGTAGGAACAAGAGGCAGTTTGGCTTGCCAGGAGCTTCTGCAAAAGGAAGTAGGGCCAGGTAAAGAGACCTTGAACCCCAGGCCAGGTTTCCAGACTTTTTTAACAGGGAGAAGGAAGGTTCTAAAGAACTGAGGTTGTGAGTTTGGGGAGGCTAGTATTTCTGGGAGATTATCTTAGAAGCAATAGGCAAAATACATAAGGAAGGGAGAAACAGTGCTTAGGAATATCATTGAAGGGACTATCTCAATAATTAGTCCATAAGTGTATGGATTACTAATACATCCATGGGATTGAAAAGAAGAGACTCAGGAATAGGCTCTCCTGAGGAGGAAGAATTTTTGTAACTGACCAGTAACTGGTCAGTAACTGACCAGATATAAAAGACTTTTGAGAATTCAAATTCAAGATTCCCTAAGGAACAGTTAGGCTATGAGCATAAAGTAGGATCAACAATGATGAGTCTGACTTTGAACCTGCTGAGTTTCAGGTGCTAATGGCACGTCCAGCTGAAACTTATCAGAGAGGACAGGACTGGAAATATAGAATTGTCATCCGCTCAGAAGCAACTTTTGATTTTGGAAGGGTTGGCAAAGAGGAAAGCACAGGCAGAGAAAATTACTAAAGAATCTCAAGGGAACCTTAAACTTGGTGGTGGGGAAATGATTGTCAGGGGTGACAAAAAGAGCAATGGAGGGGGATAAGTGAAGGAGGATTATAGAGGAAACCAAGGGAATCAGATGAAGAAGTAATCAGTGAAGTTAAGTGCTGGGCAGAGACTGAAAGATCCAAGGAATGAGAACAGGGTCCAAGGAATCCAGGGATCCAGGGAATGAGAATTGGATTGGGAAAGGGGTGGGGGGGTGTCACTGTTTGCTAATTATTAATCACATTTCAAAGATCAGGGCCAAGTCTCAGAAGTGATGATTGCTGCCATATGCCAGACAACTCTGGATAAGGCTCTCTCCTCTTGAAGAGAAGATTCTGGATGACTACCTTTGCCTTGTCTTTGATGAATACATATATTTTCATCAATATATATGAATATATATAACCCTCTAGCAAATATAAGCATTAAAAAAAAGAGAGCATGTCTACATTTCTCACTGCTTAAAATAGGATTATAATGGGGAAGGTATCAGGCAACACTCAGCATTACTTCCTTCTAACAGACAAAAAAGATAAATCACCTGGAGATAGTCAGATCACTCATAAAGTCAGTAAAATGGTAAATGGAGGACAGGACCCTAAACTGCTATTAAGAGTCTTAGCCTCTACTCATTATATCAGACCATACACTCTTGCAGGTTTAGGATGGAGTTCCAAATAACTTTTTTGTTTTTGTTTTTGTTTTTTGTTTTTGCGGTACGCGGGCCTCTCACTGTTGTGGCCTCTCCCATTGCGGAGCATGGGTTCCAGACGCGCAGGCTCAGCGGCCATGGCTCACGGGCCCAGCTGCTCCGCTGCATGTGGAATCTTCCCAGACCGGGGCACGAACCTGTGTCCCCTGCATCGGCAGACGGACTCTCAACCACTGAGCCACCAGGGAAGCCCCAAAATAACTTTTTAACAACTAAGTCCAAATAACTTTTTAGGACTTAATTTATATATTTCATTAAAGAGGTTTTTCTTTAATTGTATCTTAATGCATGGGCTAATAATTACTAATTTGCTATGCTGTTACAAAATATATCAGGCTAATATCACAATGTATATCACACTGTTCATTAAATCTTGTCAATGTTGAATTAAGAATCTAGTTAAGGAATTATGGATTTGCATACCTGTGGTATCCATCGGGAAGACACAAAGCTTGTCACTTCTATTACAGGCAAGCCAGTTTGGGAGAGTTGATTGATAAATTCAATTTTTATATCTGTAGGAACTATAATCTAAGAAAACATTAAGAATTATAAGTAATTTGCATAAATTATTTATTGAAGCATAAACAGAAAATTAATTCCTAACTGAAAGCAAATACTATTTAAGATTTATAAATTCACGTAGCAACTAAGAACAAATGTAGTCATCTAACATATGAAACCATATGTCTTTAGACTCAATAAATATTTAGATTTAGCATTTTTTAAAAATTGTGTAAAATTAATATCAAGTTACCTTTTCATTCTGCAGTCCATCTCTAGGTCCAACTTCTACTATTTTCACATATTCAGGTAGTCCAGATGGCTGGGATGATTCCTAAAATGAAAAATACAAGGCAAGAAAAAGAGATAACAGGTCATCAAACTTGTTTACTTGAAAAGTCAAACAATTTCACTTTGTTGGATTAAGTTCTCACCCTGGAAAGTTAAGAAAGGTAAGAAATTGATATAATGATATAATCCAAATACCAAGTTTATGTTATTAGCAACATGAGGTCATTTTTTTTTACAACCCAGTGATATTCAGTCTAATTATGATTAAAATCCAAAAGGTGAATTTCAAAGATAAAACTGCGGAGACTTACTCAGGATCTAAAGAGACAATCTGCTGAGTAATTCTATGCGTGATGATAAATGTACCATTGTTAGAGTTCATTAAGAACTTAGATCTTTGTATTAACAGACTTCTACCAGCCACAATCATCCAGATGCCATACCCTGAACTTGCCAAGTGTGAATTCAGTTTTCTGGCCTGTGTCAGAGAATAAGATGTGTTGTTTATTTCTTGTCTGTGTCACACAGCACAACCAGCACCTAAATGCAGCTTCCTAAAGGATAAACTCCCCCCAGGAGGACCTAATCCTTGATATTCCCCTCTGTTCCTAAACTAAGTATTATGGTCACATCATGTTTAGAAGGACACTAGTTTGAACCAGGAAAAATGGAAACTGACTTTCTCAACTTCATATTGCAGTTAAAATCAGCAGTAGGCTACATCTTTCCAGACTGGACAAACATAAGCTCCTGGTATCTCTGAGCCCAGTTAAGTGTGGGTAACCAATCATCAAGGTCTTCTAATGGATAGCTGATGGAACTGACCCAGATTAGCATGACCTGTACTTCAAAGTTATTTTTTTGTCTTGCCCTTCATAAAGGATGATGACTCTGGGCTGACCAGTTTGCATTGTCTCACTCTGTCCTTGTAATAATCACAGGCATACACCGATGAAGTGGCTATTTTGGATGCACAACCCAGTTTGTTTCCACCACACAGCACAATGCTCCCTGCCCTTTCTAGGGTCCATAGCTGTTACCTGGTTTTATTAGCATTCTGTGTTAATTAACTCAGCAAGGGAACCCAGATGATCCCTGTTACAATGTTTACATACCACCCTCCACAATTTCCACGAAATCAGGCAATTCAATAAGCAAAAATTAACTGAGAAGGAAAAGAATTCTCATCTCTGCATCTCCTGAGCAGGCCGTGATGCATGCAGTTGGGAGGGTGGAGGTTTGAGCGAGGACACATGGGGTCCCTCAGCTTTAGGCTCAGTTTTGGATGACAATCATGAAATCACGCCTTATTTACAGGGTGGCCATCATTTCAACCAGGCAATAAGATAGTGGGATGGCATGGGAAGGCAGAGTAAAAAAGAGAAGCTCATTCCTCTTTCTTATTACCTCCAGTCCTAAAATTGCAGGGATGAAAAAACAAAAACGAAACTAGGCAATCTTAAGCCATGTGGTCTCATTATCGCTGATTGTTTCCTGAGACTCATTTTCAACAGCAATTAGCTTGGAGTATACATGGATGAAGAATACTACTTTATTAAACAGCAGTGTTTAACCCCAAAAAAGGAACATAGTGTTTTTTAAGGTAATAACAATATGCTGAGTACAATTAAAGAGCTTGGGACCTTCCTTCGCATCACTGGTATAGCTGGCAGAAGTAACAATCTGAAGAAATTAAAGTGTAATCTCCCACTAATTATAGCCATTTAAGTCAAAGCAGAATATGTGCATACTTGATATTATTTTACATTTCTTCTTGAATCTAACACTCCCATTTTGTCTTCTAGTCATGGATCTGTATTCCCTCTATCTGAATACCCAAGAAATCAGAAAAAAGTTATAATGTGTTCAGTAGGTTCAAAGAGTAACAAGTTTCCCTTTAAACAGCATATAAATAAATATATAAATAAAGTCAATACATAATTGTTGAGTATGTGTGATGTGAGAGCCCTATCCTGGTATTTTCAGTGTCATTCTGGGCATTACTATCTCTGTATTGACGTTTCTAAGCAACTTCAGCTTTACATAAATAATGCAATGCCTACTGAGCAAATCCACCTAAATGTTGTAGAAGCACATAATTTTCAATGATGCAAAACTGATCTCATGATTTCTCTGCCTCATTCCTCTCCTCAGATATTCTCCCACCACCTATTATCCGATTCCATCTCTCTTACCACTTATATCTAATTGGTACCTAATTGGTATTTTTATTACTGGTTCTATTTTGGCATATACCCAACACCCAACACTTAGCTTGCACTTAGTAATTGTTTGTTGATTGTATTAGTGAATCTCTTTTGTCACTGTCTGTATTTAAATTGTCTTCCTTTTCTACTTAGTCTATTGCTGTAGCTTCCTAAGTATTCTCCCTAATTTTGTTTTTCCATGATTAAAATGCTTCAGAATGTACCAGTCACCTTTGGAGAGATCTATCAACCTAAGGTAAAAGATGATTCCTGACTAGCCTCTCACCTTCTACCACACTCTACTTCATGCATCCTGTGATTTTAGGCATGCTAAAGTCATGTCCTGCTCACTTTCACGACTGTAGACATGAAGTTGCTATTGGTTGGAAATAGCTTCTATCTGTGGGGAAAATTTTCCACCAAAACCATTTCTATTCTTCACAGACACAGGACTGGACCTCATTTCTCCCCTAAGAGTTACGTTTGAACAAGTTCCAGTTGATGGAACATCAACGTGAATGCTGTGTACCGCTTTTAGGCTTGGCCCATGAAAATATCCCATGCACATGCCTCAATGCTCTTTCCCCTCTAGCCAGCTTGATGCAGATGAGTATGGCCGACTTGGAAGCTGATAAAGACAAAAAAGAAAAAATTGAAGGAACCTACACCAGAATCACTGCTTTAATAAGAATTCCATGCCTATAAGAAACAATTATTTTGTCCCTCATAGAGATGAAAATAGATGTCAACTCTCTTACACCATTGAGGGTATAGGTATATCTTTTATAGCTCCTAATTGTGAAAAATTATGAAGGGTCTGAAATTTTACCTTACTTCCAAGCTAACAAGTGAGCCTGCCATGGATGCTGGTGGAAGGCACAAGACTCATTGGTCAGAGAAGGAAAAAGAGGCTTATCACTCACAGCAACAGCAGTAGCTAGAAAATCAGGATTTGTGCTGGTTCCCCAAGCCCCAACTCCCAGGAAAAAAAGAGGACCATACAATGCTTGCCCAGACAATGGGTTACATTACAGGAAAGGAACCCCAAGCACAGGAACCTTGAACCTTTGCTAATGGGCAGTACGCATATCGTTCCTTGGTGACATATACACTGTGTTTATCATGCTTGACCATGAGTATGCCTGCCTTTGATCTGAGAGAAAGACACTTCCCCTTGGCTCCAGAAGGAGACACTAGTTCTATCATTCAAAACTATTTTGCATTAAAAAAATCCTTGAAAAGAGAGTCTGGAACAAAAGTAATTATGCCTCTGCTTGCAAGAAATACAATAAACTTATGCAGAATTATTTCCCAATAATATCCACTCTTCATTTTTACACCATCCTGGTTTATGGCAAATTTTCCCACTAGTAAACCACTCCATTGGCCCCTCTGATTAACTAACAGTGGCTGGAACCAAATCTGCTCATTTTTATCTCAGAAAACATTTAATTAAGGCTACTCTCAACAGACCTTCAAGGAGCAGGAGAAGGCCAACTTGCAATATTGACTTCTGCCATGCCACTCCTCCCCAGGGTCCTGGATCCAGCCAGCGGAACGAATCCTATACTATAGTGGCCTCTGCATCAGAAGCTCAGCGTTGTTTACTTTGTGCCTATTTTATGATGGTGGATGTGTTACCATGTTCAATGCTATGATTTATCCAGGCAGCAACAGTGACAATATAGGTGATGGAGGCTTGATCCGCAGCGTGATTCCAGTGTGCCTCATCAGAGTATGGGCTTCAGATGATCCACCAGCAGCCATAATTTATTGCCATAATTCATAGCCTCCCCCAAAAGGTGTCTTTAACATCTTAGTCTACAGTTTCCCAAATGGCAGACAAATAAGCTAGGCCAATGACCCCAACCCAAGAGTCAATAAAAACATGGCAATGGCCTCAAGTTCTGTTGGGCAAGTAGAGCAATCACATCCCCTTTCAGTTCTGCATGGCGGCTGGAGAAGTTTTACAACTGCAGGAGCCCAGTGGTCATCATCAGATTTCAGTTCGGCCAAAACATCATCCAACCAGGCGAAGAAAAGCACCGTGAAGAGAAGGGCCCCCACTGAGCCGGTAGCTTTGTTCCAGGCAGTGGAACAGGCAACAGAGGGCAAGGGTTACTTTTTGTGGGTAAAGCTGAGATTGCACTGGGGACAGGCCAACCACTTTCTCAAATATACAATTTCCATTTGATTAGTGTGGCCTGCTGAAAATGTCCAACCTCGTTAGTCATTGACTCCAAGTTGACCCCCCAAAATGGAAATAGGGGCCAGAGAGTCACAACGGCCTCCCTAACTCAGGTGTCCAGTTTCAAAAAGAGCTCCAAGGCAAGCCAACAGCTGATTTTTAAAAGAGACTTGGATGGCTGTGTCATGGCAGTAAGGGATCCACAACCCCCCAAAGTGCCACCAGGTAGAGGCTGCCTGACTTTGACAGAAGCTCAAATTTGCAAAATCACCAGTCACAGAGACTTAGAGATCAAAGAGGTCAGGAGGATTTGGGGACCCCCAAAGTTATGTTCACTTCATTACATACAGCTCTTCCCATTGAGATGATACCCTCTGGCACTTATGGGACACAGAGTTACAATCACAACACACATCAGTTTTTACTATACATTCAGACATGCAAGCAACAACAGGCGAGTGTACTGGCCATGAAGGCCCCACCCACAAGGCTGCGTCAGGTCCCCTTTCCCACTGAGAACACTGCCAAACCCCATCAATTGAATCAGGGCTCCCACCCCCATGGGACTGATAGGATGGTGACTTGGATGGCTTTATCAGACAGAACCAGGAAGGTTAGAGTCCTTGCTCTCTCCACCATTCCCTAGCA